ACATACATACATACATACATACATACATACAGACAAACACACGCACACACACATTCGAACAATAGTACCAGGACCAGTATAAAAGATAATTATCTAAGCCACTCTATATCGATCTATCCAGGTTTTAAATTTACTTTAGGCTCAACTGAGTCTTCATAAGAAGTAAGATAGAGCCGGATAGTGTTTTGCTTTACTCTTAACATTACACTTTTCCAAGAATGAAACGCAGCTCTGATGATGTCCATCATTTGATGGACGAAAGCTCAGCACGTTCTCACCCGAAACGAGGTAGCAAGTCTCGTGGACTGCGTCAGCATGAATATTGTAGAGAAGGCAAACAGCTGCAGTACAACGCGATTCAGCCATCGTCTTCTGGTGAGATCGACAAACTAATCTCTTCTTCATGCACTTGCATAAGAAATAAAAGTGTGTTCCAACATTAATATTTATAAAATTAAGCAGCTTATTCTTCTCTTTAACATAAATCTCACTTATAGTTTCTGAATATAAGCCCCGTGGAGATAGTGATTAACCTTTTCCGAGTGGTAGGGTCGCTTAAGGTCACGGAACTTGGGAGTGGTACTAAAACGTTTACAAAAGTTTAAAAAAGTCAGATGGGAAGACTGACTTGCAATTGTCTTCTTTGTCCGGCTGCATTCAGTGCATTGCTTGGCAATTCGACTACCGAAAGGAGACTACGAGCATAGCAGAGGCGACACCATCTTGGTCGTCATATCTTCAGTGACTTTGATGATTATCATCGAGCAACAGACAAACGGGGCAGGAGAAAGGGAAGGAGAAGCCGTCCAAACGTCACCTGGTGCCGGTGGTCGAGATGGCTACGCTCCACTGAACCCACTCGTAGCGACCCGCTCTTGGGCGAAATTGGGCGAATCGAGAGCAGAGAATTGTGTGAATAAGAGGATAGGCCATATGAAGTGGGGTTGAGAGAAAGAGATGCCGCGGCAGAAGCAAGGAGTCATGACAGCCACAACGATTGAGCAGACAATTGGTCACTTGTCAGTTTGTCAAGTTGAAACTGTGTCCTTACGATGCCGACGAAACGTTTGTGAATGTATCCAACCAATGGCGCAATGCTGCAAATCACGAATGCTACGGCAGAGGACGCCGGACATGGTACGCTCCACAAAGCCTGTCTGACGCTCCGACCGAGTTGCGAAAATAAAGGCGGATCAACGCTACAGAAATTAATGGGACTGCATGAGTCATACCATCTTGTTCGCCATAGCTACAACTTGTGGATCAAGTTGATGGAAGAATTAAAGTGACCAGAGAGGTGGAGGAAAATGAGCTACTGGCTGTCCTGAATGTTGAGGTCATTCGTTGCAACGGGAAACTCAAGCAAGAAATGATGTGCGCCAATGATCCTCAATTTCCTGTCTCAGAGAATTGATGGTAAAAAATACAGGTTCATAAAGAGCAGATAGTAACTTGGACAATAGGAGAACAAAATCACGAATCGGAAGACAGTCCAAATGTGGATATGCCAGCCATCCTGTCAACAGAGTCAATAATTGCGAGCGTTGCCAAGACAACGGAATATCAAGGTGATGGGAAAAGAAACGACAGCAGTCTTGACCAGCCTGTCGACTCAACATGAGAAGGCTGACAGACTGGATTTTTCGGGAGTTCATCACATTTAATGCGACAATTCTGGGCAGAAGTGTGTTGGTGAAACAGGAAGTAAAATGAGCCTACGAATCAAGGAACACCAAAGACTGTGCAGAAAAAATGATGCTGAAGTATCCGAAGTAGTGGAACACATTGCACGGATGGGACAGGAATTCGAGAAAGCTACTGTACAGGATTGATGTGAAACCTGCTTTTTCCTCGTATATATCATGTACAGGGGACTTGAGGAGATCAGGAATATCGAAAACTTTGCACGCTGTCTGAGCAAACTCGGAGAAGATCAGGCAAAAGCAAAATCAGCAAAAAGAGGACGACAAAGCGCAGAATGGGGGCCACAGAAGAATGATATGAAATGAAGAGGAAATTTCTACGTCGCTACTAATTAAAGGAGGCTGACAATATATGTTCATCGTCTGTAAAAGGTTTTCAAGACTACAAATGTAAGATGTATTCACAGTAATTCATTCAAGGTGATGACAATAACAGTAAATGTTAAAGACAAATTTTAATAGTGTAGGGAAAAGCTAATTAAAGGAACATGGTAATAATGAATGAATGAATAAATAAGCATCTATGATGACGCAAAGAGTGGAAGGATTGACAAATGTTGAGTAAATTTAAAGGAGATTGCAACCTGACGGAGGAGTATGTATAAGCTTTGGTAGAGGTTGTGGTGAAAATTACAACACAAAAGATGGCCCCGCCCGGTTTCGAACCGGGGACCTTCTGCGTGTTAGGCAGACGTGATAACCACTACACCACGGGACCACG